AGCTTTGGAGGGCTCCAGAGGCTGTATAAGGGCTTAACAACGGCGGTTTTAAGGCTTTGTCATATTGAAAAAACCACCAAAAAAAGAAATTGAGGGGCTCGATTGTTTGAATTTAAGAAATCGAGGGGCTCAATTTCTTATTTTGGTGGGCTTTCAAATAGTTAAGAAATCCAGGGTATGCTCGAATCCCGATTCTTTTTTTTACTAGAAAAAAAAGGTGCGCTTCAAAAATAAGAAATCGAGCCCCCCCTCACGAAAAAATATCTGTTTCTGAACCGGCGCTGTCGCTGTATATATACTGTGTGTGTGTACATGCATGCCAACGTGCGGGTGCTGAACAGCAAACGACGGGAGTCGTCCGAAGTCTTGCTCGATTATCACCAAAGCTGGCCTGCGCAAGATACAGTGCCATCGAATTCCTCAGCCGGACAGTATGGCAGCCAGTCGTGGCCTCAGCACTCGAAGGCCCACTTGGAGGCTGCAGCCCGAACATGAATGCTTAGCCTCAGACACGGCTGGAAATCGCCGCAATTTATGCGAGGTGGGCCCTCGTCCTTACGAATGAGACGAACGTGCGTCAGGATAGTGGGCGGGCTCAGGGATTACCGACATGAAGGTCGCTACAGGTGAGGCTGCAATCCTGCAAGCCTTCCTTTGAAGGCACCAACATATTGCGTCTTGCTGCGACAAAAGTCCATCCGCCCTTCGTGATCGCCCAGACTTCTTCCAGATGTGTGCTGAGGTTGAGCCTACACCTGACCCTACACGTGCTCCAGAAATGGCTTCTCGCCACGCTCCCCTGCTTTCCTTACAGGCCAAGTAACCGAAAACTCAATAGCTTCGCACATTCCGCCAGATGTCCTTACTTGCTGATGTTGCTGAAGTGGGTTTTAATGAATCCAAAGCTGCATGCAGAGTTTCAAAAAAGCAGGAAGCTGACCGTCTGCTGTTCAGGATCGTCTCCAGACCCACAGCAATCAAAGATGCAAAGGGCGAAGTCACGTCTACGGAACCATCTGGCCCAACCTGACATCCAGTGCACCAGTAGCATCCGCGACCACTTGTTGGTCTGTTACAAATTCAGTACGGTGATATCACAACATGCCGAAGCCTAACCGCACGTGACCCCCGATCGGAACTGTAGCTCGCCTGGCCCGCAAGCTTCTCCCCAAAGGGTCCGCAAATGTCGCGGTTCTGGTCCAAGCAACCTGACCACCGCAGTGCACCCCCAGGCGGGTTTCTTCCCGCAGGAGTCGCAAGCATCCGCAAACCTGTCGCCGAAGTGTGGGATTGTTACCCCTTCTTGAAGACTAGCTGCCCAAAGCTTCAGATGCCAGGCAAGCCGTGCTCGTAACCTCAGGTTTGCAAGTCAAGCTTCCTTCACAACTCACTTCGGGAGCAACAGAGCACATGCAGAAATCAATTGGCGCCGGACTTCCATGGAATGGATTGCCGACGCTCTTCTTCTAGCTTCTGTCGAGCTCGAGTCGTACCCAACCTTGCTTGGCAGCATTGCAACGGTGCATGGTGTCTGAGAATGCCGCTGGTACTTGCAGCTGACCCTGAGCGCTGACACTGAAAATAAAAACGCCGCCCCGACCCTGACCCGGAGTTGCTCTTGGACCGGGCTGCAACCAGCATGTTCACCCCAGGAGACCTGGCGGCTACAGCCCCGTGATGCTCGATTTGATACTTTTGTCAGAAACGCCTAAGGCTAGCGTACGATGCAAAGGCGATTGCACCTTGCAACATGACGAACACGCTGTTTGCATCATGTATGCCTCTGTCTGCCGGGTTACGAAACTCGCAGATGCAAGTAATTCCAAAAGACATCAGGCTAAATCGTGCTGCCCCTGCAGTATTTCAGCGTTTCTGATTTATGCGGCCTAGAACAATATACATGACATCCGAACCATATTGGACTTAGTTTCTAGTCCGGGGATGTCCAGTCAATTCGTTTGCAGGGGTGCATCTTGGTCGGGAAGCCGGATCAGGGATGTAGAAAAACTTGACAGATCGGAGGCCTGGGGAAATTAGAATAGGGTTTTTGGGGCCCAGTATACTATACTTATGATAGGATCTGCCATGTCCTGGTCTTGCTCCATGCCGGGTACCCCATCGACAGGGTCTGTGGGCGCGCTCAGCGACGTGTCGGGCGATGTAAGGTGTACTGTACTCAGGATGGACGGCCGCAAAACACAAGCTATTCAGACACATCTGTACTTGTATACCTGCCCCACACTTCAATTCTCTGCAGCAAATCGCCGCAGGCTCCTCCGAAAGAAAGCAAAAGAGCGCCCCTCAGACCCAGGGCCCCGGGCAACAAATAGCGGAAGGTGGCGGCAGCATCCCCAGGGCAGGCATCGCAGAAGCATGATGTAGAAGCGGCGATGGCCAGGGGATCTCAGGCAGACGAGTTTGCAGAACTTGCTCGTGAGAGCTGCAATAGAAGCAGCAAGGCTGTCTGCGGCCACAACACTTGCCAGCTCCGAGTACACACGTGACCAGCTTCCTCAGCGCAGCTACGCTTCACATGACATGACGTCTGGAGCCTACTGAGAAGTCTGCCATTCTGCCATACTTCCGCAGAAAGAAAGCTTGAAAAGAGACGGATTGATCCTGGTCCGCCGAGCCGCCCCAGAAAGCGCGCTCCTCCTCTCCCAACTCCTCCAGGTTGCCGGCCTGAGCTTTTCGGCCAAAGCCCTCGAAGTTTATGGGAGACCCCAACGAGAACCGCGCAATCGCTGGCAAGATCATGGGCAGCAGGCTGTACTTGATGTAGAACGTACCTGCCGAACAAGACCACAGCATCTAGGCTTGATGAAAGCTATGAGCAAGTGTGGCCTTGCTCCGTGTACTGGGTGCAGCTCTTGTTCCTTAGGTGTGGGGAACTGCCATGGTTGGCACGACTGGAGTTCCTTATGGCCGAGTGCATGCACAGCCGCGCAAGAGCAAACCGTCCGCACTCACCAATGCTGGCATTGAAGATGACAACATCGTCCTCGCGGGGAGGCCATGCTGGGGGGAAAAATCTTGACTATTCAAGACGACTCAAAGCCGAAGCTGTCCGTGTAGATGCTGCATTGCATTTCGCCTGCGTGGCGTGGCACGCACATCTGAGAGCCAAGCCGAAGTGCGGAGTACCCCCCAACTCCAGCTGAAACCTACCCGAGAGATTGCCTGAGGCACAGTGGGGCCCGTTCATCTCCGTGGTGAAGGCGAAAGCCCCGAACGTTTTCGCATAATGCGCACAATCCTCGAGCAGGGCTCAGGCGCTCCATGGCTCTGCTTCTTAGCCATGCAGAATGCCCGCTGGGATCCCTGCATGGAGGAATGGCATACAAGAAGTCATCATGGGCCATGTTTCCACCCCTCAGGGCGTCCACGTCTTCCAGTCACACACACACACACACACACCGAAACACAGCAAAAGAAATCATGAAATGCACCATAATGTGCACTTGCTGCATCATTACACTCCGAATCAGCTTCCAAGGCGCTGCAGGCATCCCCGCAATAGATCGAAATAAAATCCTGCTGCGCAAGACCATCTCAAAATGCGAGAGCCAAGCGGAGCTCTGCGCAAAGTCACGAAGGCTTGAAAAGCAATGGAACTCGACGGCGCCTCGGGTCTGTCCTCGGATAGCAAACACCTGCCGCCTGCCTCTCTCTGCATGCGAATCACACCGAAAACGATTGGTCTTAACCAGGCTACTCCATCGCCACCAGGGCCTGTGCTTGTGCAGTCGCCGTTGTCGTAACCACACCTCGGGTCGGCTGAATACGTCTGTTTGCCTGCCATTGCCTTTCCTTCGTGCAAGAACGGTCCACTTTGCCTCAATGCAGCCCGAATGCATCGGAGTGTTGCACTCCCAGTCACAGATCTTGTTACCCAGCTTGCCCGACTCGCAAGGGCAGTGGCTCACCTGCTCGGGGCATACCACCATCTTGCAAAGTTAAACTCCACACCTGCATGCTATGATGATACAAAGACGGCCAAGAGCAAGTAGACATGGCCCATTGTGATACTTTTGCGCCTGCACGCAGTGTGGCACGCGGAAGCCGAAATTCTCACATACTTTCACGGCGTCCTCCATCTCTCCAGCCTGTTGCTGACCCGACTAGGTAGTGCTCTGAGCTGCAGATTACGGCTATGTATTGGCCACGCAACTTCCGTAGGAGGCACGCCAAACTGCTCGCAGCACTGAGTCCGCTCCAGGCCTCCGATGGCCATCAGAGAAAGAAGGAGCCAGGCGCGGCATGGCAGCTGTGTATGCGCAGTCCAAGGCACAAGAGTAGTACTCGGTGACGGCCTTAAAAGCATTTTGGCACTTGGGGAGTTCATGCTCTGGATCAGTCATGAAAAGTCGCGTGCCTGACACATCTCTTCTGTCATAACGCTCGGAGGAACGCTCGCGCTGCCTGAGATCTCCCAAGCCCACAAAGCCCAAACCCCGGAACCACAAGGCAAGCTTTCAGCCCGGCAGCTGCCATCAGGAGGTAGCTGCAAGCTGCAAGCCAGGGCGTCCGTGATAGCACACTGACAACAGGGACCCTAAACCCTAAACCCTAATCCCCTAAACCCTAAACGGACAAGCTTGCTGGCCCGAGATGGGCCGAGGTGCAGGGCCCCCAAGAATTCAACTACGATGCTGGGTCATCCTAGCGCAAATCCGCAGTTCCCTCCTGCCCATGGTGGCCGCCGTCGTCCTGCGTCACAGATCAGAGAGCATTACCAGAAGCCAAACTTCAGTAAGGTGTCTATCTCCTTCATGCAGGAGAAGTGCATCCCCATAGCTTCGCACAGAGAGCTCATCGATCCAAGATCCTCCTTGGTCACGCAGTGCCCCATGCATCCAAGGGCCCCAAAGCGAGCGACAGAATTTCGAGCGAGAGGCACGGGAGCCAACACATGCATGCTTCAGAAGCTTCGACGCTGCTGGCCAAGTCTCCATGTCGCGCTCTCCGCAGCAGTGGGCCCTTTCATAGCCTCGGCATACGCTCGGTCGGCCACCACTGCACTGCCTGTATCTGCAAGAGACTCTGGAGACTCATCATTTCCACGAGTCCATGCATTCCAATTCGAGCCTTCACTCTGGTAACACGTACAAGCCTCCTGCTGCAAGCTCGCAACTTTCTGCAGAAGTTCTACCCATGCCCACGTCATAATCAAGACTACATGGTACAGTGCATACCGGCACAAGTTCCGCTACCTTTGTAAGTACGTACCATAGAGGAGGCATGGCTGGAAACTGACAACCTTTGGCAACTTGGCCATCTTAGCAGATCATCACCGATCACGATTCAGTGCACGGCATGAGCTTCAAACTAGCGAGGTCTGAAGGGGCTGTCGTACTCAGTGAAGCTAATGTGGTCGTGTTGCACATCTGAGAGGCACAGGTGCCAAGCTTCAGCAAAAAAATACGATGTCTCAATCTGTTGGCTGCGACGAAGATGCACATCGACGTCATCTGTGAAACCTGCCGCGCTGCTGCAATGCCCTCTCAACACATGAAAAATGGCGCCGAATGCTGGATGCGCAGCCGACTTGAACGACACGTGAAGGCTCGTGCGACTGGCGTCCGAGCCTGCTAGGCATATTATCTGTTGCAATCATTAGTAGGCTCAAATTTGAAAATGTGAGTACCGTTTCCGTGTAATGAGAAGAAGACATGCACTGATACCTGGCCCAGCCTCGCATGACTTTTGCAGAAAGTCGGGCGAGATAGATCCCTTGGAGGGAGAAGCAATGTCGGAAGACTTGCCAGTGCTCCCAAATCCCATACATGTCTGCCGACTGCCCTCAGAAGAACCTGCTTCTCAGGATGCTAATACTAAGATTGCTTCACAGAGCTGCTTGCTACCAATGGCACATCCTCGGAGATGAGGCCCATGGTCATAGTCATGTTCAGGCGCTCCATATCGCAATGGAACTTCGCCATCTTGTCACATTCACCCTCCACGGACAGGGCTGAGATGTTGCCTCTTTGATCCTCTCTGCCTGCACCTCTACCTGGACCGACTTTGGGCCCCAGAACAGGGCACCCTTTGAACGGGATAGTCACCCATGGACACTAGGCGCCGTCCTCGTGTGGCGGACGGTCCTGTGGTCGTTGAGAAACACAACGCACAGACGCCACACTTGTAGAGCATTCCGGACGAGGCTCGTCGCAAACATAGACATATCCTCTCGCCACGCAGGTGGGCAACAGCTGGGTCATCACATCCTCCTTGCATATGTAAGCAGAATTTGGAGCGTGCTGACCTTCTGAGGGGAGATGGTGAGATCAGTAGCAAAGCGAAAGATGGCAGCTGCACGGAACCGAAGCTGGGCTCGGCTCAAGGCGTGAATCAAAGCCGGGGCACTGGAACGATGTGCTCGAAATCCTGGTCTTCGCAGCATCCTGCGCCTCGGATACCTTCAGCCAAACTCATCTGCGGAGAGTCCCTGTTGAAAAGCAAACTGCAACAGCCCAACACCTCAAGGTTGAAGCCATGGCGCAATCAGTGAACTCGTTGCCCAACTGAGCAAAGAACGCATGCGGGAGCGCGAATTGCAATACCAACGACGTATCCCATGTTCTGTCGTAGGCTAGCATACTTTTTTGTTGTGTCGTCACACCAGCTCATCTTCGTTGGTCACTTGAATAATCCAAGGCACACGACAGACACGGTCAGGATCAGATTCCAAGAAATGCAGTTCTTCTTCCATCTTGTGCCCAACTTCGCGGCAAGCATCCAAAGCCCTGTGGTCGCAGTGCATGTGATCCTTGCAGGGCAACCCAGGCGTGCCCTTGGGCCCTTGGGCGCATCGGTGCAATCCCTTGGGCATCCCTTGGGGGGCATCGGATCCTCCTCGCCACGTCGGCAAATGGGGGCATATCTGTAGCCCGCATGCTCACAGACAACCCACAAATCCACGCCCATCAACGAGGCCTGAGTCTGCTGAGTAGCAGAACTGTTGCAACGCTGTACCCACTTCCATGTTACACAACACTTCCCATTCTAAATTACTCGGGAACGACTTGCACCTACCAAAACTATCCAAAGAGCTGGAAGAATTGTCGCCGCGTCTTCGCAGCACGTAGTGTTCAGGAGGCCTAGGGATTGTACGACTTGGTGCTGGGAAGTTGACCGGAAGGCGCTGGCACAGAAGCTCATGGAGGCACAATGCGCGCTGCAGGCTACAAAGGGGCGGCCCCTTTTGAGGCCCCAAGTCTACTAAACATATGATCAGGCTCGCGCTTGGCGTGCGGGCAGGCAACATGACTCGATGCCGATGCCCATCTGAGCTATGTTCATGTGCAACAAGCTCGGCGCCAAAAACAACCCTCTCTCTCATTGCCGCACACTTGTCTCTGCAAGCGCCTCTCATCTGCAGGCCTGGGTGCCGGACCAAGCATATCTCGCCCAACTCGTCGATGGACATGTTGTGCAGGACGGTCATATTCATCATTGGTCCCGTCATGTTGTGCATGTGATGCTCCGTCCCGTTGGTGTGGTTGGTGGTGTTCGGCTTGTGTAAGTGTGTAATCAACCGACTTCGGTTGACGAGGTCTGTGAGCTCGTCCACCGCGGCTCCGCACATGTCGAAGGCGGGTCTGTTGCAGTGCGAGTGTGAGTGATCGTCGTCACCCTGTGCAGGGGCGTGTCACACAACAGCCGGCGCATAGAATGGATGCTTCTCCCCGCCTTCGAGCAGTAGTGCGTGGCATTCATGCCACCAAGGTGGCAAGCGTGCTCAACATCCATGTCAATCAGCGATTTCTCGGATTCCAGGACACTTCAAGAACTGCTCTTATGCTGGCACTCGGTTTCTTAAGTTGATTCGCACATACACCGTTGCAAAACGTGCATAACGGTGCCAAACTGCCACAGAGCTTGGGCATGAAGTCTTCACCGAATCAAGGCCACTCTTCAACATCACCCACCGACTTCGCTTCGTGCGTTAAAGGGGCTGGCAGGTAATATTCCGCGTCTCTGCAGCAGCTCATGTTGTGGATACCTTGCTGGTGCGACACACTCCAATCACTGAACAGCATCAATACAAGCATCCACCATGCGGAGCTCGACCACGAAAAGCATCACATACCAGCATCCTAGTGCTCCCATGCAACCGAGCTTCACATCTCAACTCCACTGGCCATCTGGGCTGTCAAATCTAGTGGCTTACTTGCACTGTGATTGCAACGACACTTGCAGCCTTGCACAAGCAAACACGACCACTCTGCAAGGTAGCATAGGATTCTTGATTGAAGGCTCCAAACATCGCGCCCTAAGCCACACCTGTCGTAAATCTGTGAAGCAGCTGCGCAAACCCTCGCTGCGTCATCCGCGCTCATATTGTGGGTTCCGTTCCTTGGCAGTCCGAGGTAAACTGCGACGGTCACTAGGAGTGGGAAGCTTGATGTTACTAGTGTGATCCATGCGCTTGCTGATTTACTCTTGCTTTAGCAATCCACTGGGCTGCGGGACTCTGCTTGTCAGCAAACAGGGTCCAGTCACTTCCACAGTAGTGTTCGCAGCTAGTGACAGCTAGTGGTCGTGCTGGCACGTGCTGGCTCCTTTGCCTCTCAGCAATGTTCAGGATTACTGGCTCTGAAACAAGACCCAGCATCCCTGTGCTGTTCATGACCAGCTGGCTCAGCATCTGGATGCTGGTGTTGCAAGCCTCGCGATACTTCGCAAGAAATGACAACGCTGGTGACGCCAGTAAGCCCTGGCCAAAACTGCGGCACTGCAAGTTCTGCTGACTTCGACATGGGCAGTAGTTACTTAAAGACATCCGATTCAAAACGCAAAACCAGTAGCCTGTAAGTGGCTTTTATGCACATCATCAGCACCATCACCATCACGTTGTCCGCGATGTCGCTGCTGTCCTCAACAACATCCCCATTTAATACAAAATCGTCACTGACAATCACCACCAGCAGCAGAAGCAATAGCGACGACGATTTCCATGATGATGATGAGGAGGAGGAGGGGGAGGAAGAGGAGGAGAATGAGGAGGAGGAGGAGGAAGATGGTGGATGTTGATGATGATGATGATGATAATGATGATGATGATAATGATGATGATAATGAGGTGGAGCAGGAGGAGGAAGAGGATGAGGAGGAGGAGCAGCACGACAAGAAGGATGAGGACGAGGAGGAGGAGGAGGAGTTTGGAGAATCAAGATGACGACGATGGCGATGATGATGATGATGATGATGATGATGTGATGGTGGTGATGATGGTGAGGAGGAGGAGGAGAAAGACGTGACGGTTGATGATGATGATGCTGATGACGATGATGATGACGAAGATGAAAATGAAGCTGAAGATGATGATGGTCATGATGACGATGACGGTGACTCTGACAAAGATGCTGATGATGATGATGGTGATGATGATGAGGAGGAGGATGATGAGGAGGAGGATGATGATGATGAGGATGAGGATGAGGATGATGATGATGAGGATGATGAGGATGATGAGGATGATGATGATGATGATGATGACGATGATGATGATGGAGGAGGAGGAGGAGGAGGAGGTGGAGGCGGAGGCGGCGGCGGCGCAGCAGAAGGGGGCAAAGGTGATGGTGGTAAATTGCAACGACACCCATGACGATTATGACACAATCGCGATTATGCGTGATTCATGGGAGTGCACGCGGCCCATCAACAGGATGTCAAGCACCATTGTCACTACTTCAAAATCATCCGCATCATCGTACTAGCAACAATATCAGAAGCAGCAGCAGCGGCAGCAGCGGCAGCAGCGGCAGCGGCACGGCCAACCACCGGGATCACGGCAGCAGGAGCAATAGAAGCTGAAGCCTGCAGCACCAGCCGAAACGGTAACCACAGCAGCGGAGTTTTGTTTTCTCTGTGGGTAGCAGGCCGAATGCCTCACATTCTTCTCAAACTGCCGAATCTACCTCATCACAGGCCCTAACACTGTTTGATCTTCCCACTGCCACTATGCACAGGCCATGCCAGGCCTCCATGCCAGTGTGGTTGCACATGTCCTCAAGGACAGGGCCACATGCCAAAGGAAATGCATCAGGTGTCCAACAAAGGGAACATGCCATACGCCCTGACAGAAAGCTACCAAGTCGGTTTCAGGTGCGCAGGGTTTCCGAAATGTTTATAGAGGAGCTCATGTGATCTTGAGCTTTCGAACGGATTGCATGACTGCTTCGAGCGGCTCTGTCCTCGTCTCTCCCGTCTTCTTTGTCGTCGTGATCGTCGTGTCCGTGCGGAGGTGGATGAACGGCCTGCACGCATCGCCGCAGTGGGAGGTGCATTTTACGCTGCTAAGAACAGGCATCTGGAGATCTCCCGTTGCGCATCGGGTGCAGGATCAAAAAATTCGTCAGGATCAAAAACTTAAGGCCCCTGGGATCAAATAACACTTTTGAGAGCAAACAAAAACGATGTAAAGAGGCTCCACACATCCTTTTATTAGTTGCAGCAGATGCTGTATATCGGGTCACCGTATCCTGTTTGTAACACAGGATGCTCGCGGCGCGCATCTGCCGCTTGGGTGCGGCGCATAGTTTATGTTGACATCCTATTATTTTGCAGAGGACTCGCCTGCCGCTAGCGCGGGGCCAGGACTCATTGTAAAGAGTACGCCATGGACCACGTGGTTTGCGTTTTCGCTCTCGACAACCTTGCATGGCGGCAGCACTTGGGGGGAACGATTCCGGGTGTCTTTGCGGGTCTCGCAAGCTAAGGGCAAGCATAAGTTGCCTGCACCCGAGACGAGCCAGTACTTTGCGGAAGTACTTTCGCGCTGGTCGCGATTTCGTCGTGCTCTCCACCGTATCTTAATCCCGCCAGTACCTGGGGGAAAGAATTCCGGCAATGCCCTGGTGGTCTCCTGGTGCTCCTGGTGGTCTCGTGCTGGTCTTCTGGTTGTCCTCCTGGCCCCGGTCGTTGTCGACTTGGTCGGCATGGTCTTCCTTCGTGGGTGGAAGCATGGCGTATGTAAATGCTGGAAGACACACAGACGGCAACCAGTTGCGACCTGTGTGCTACCAAGCAATGACAGTGGTCTTGACGTCCTGGTCAGAATGGCATGCGTCTGGTGTGGTCTTTCACCATTTGGGGATCTCCAGTGGCAGGAAAATATGAATAATCATAAGTATATTGAAAAATGCAAAACGCAATAACCATAACCGTAACAATAATACTAATTCTAATTCTAGTACCAGGAAGAATACTAAGACTAAAACTAAGATTAAGACTCAGACTGATACACATACCAATACTAGTACTGATACTAAATACACGAACAACAGCACTAACACTGTACTATGTTAATACTAATACTACTACAGACAATAATAGTAGCAAGAATAACAGTTTGAAAAATGCTATGAACACACAAAATATTGGAAAAAAACAAGAAAAATAATGGTAAACATATTTTTCTTTTGGTTAGTACTAGTGTTTTCTTGTCATTGCTAACTGTTATTACTACCTGTATTACTATTACCCTTTTTCATACGTATTCATGAGAATATGAATACGAATATCAGAATGGTAATCATACAAATAACAATCAATACTACTGGAAGTACTGATAGCAATAAGGAACAATATCCTGAGCAATACTAGTAGTACTAGTCGTAGTAGTCACAATGGTCCAAATGGCAAAAATCGTGATACTCATATTATGAATGGCTGAAAGCACTGAGGGTAACAATACTTCGGACAGGGTGCAGCTTCCAACCCATCGCGGTTGCTATTTGGAAATTTCCGAAAATAGGGGACCCTAATATAGTACCCTAAATAATAGGATCCCTATTATAAGGACCCCAAAATAAGGCACCCTGTTTGAAAAGACGGGCGGGACATTCGAGGCACCTGAACCACCGCTTCATCCTGTTAAGATTTCTTCTTGATCCTGATTGACTTGGTGTTTGGATCCTGTTTGGTTTCTTTTTTTGATCTGCATTCGATGTGCATCGACAAGCAGGACCGAAGATCAACCTGATGGGCAGTTTGCTCCAACCACTAAAACTCGATCACTTTCAATCTAAGCGAGTGTGGATTTGGTATACCACAAAGACAAAGGCAGGCTGACTTTGCATGCCGGGCGCAGAAGCGGCTTCGAAGGGCAAATCGGAACATTCCGTGCAGGGACTGGCCTCGCAAATGGACGGCCGCCAAAAGCCAACTCCACTGCAGATAGAATTGAAGTCTGTCTTGTTGCCGTCGCCGGAGGGCTGGCACAAGCAGGCTCGATCCCAGCATTCTGCTCGCGAGGTCGGCATTCTAACAATTGAAGTTGAGTAACTGAATAAGCCTGCGCGGGAAATCGGGAGAAAAACCTTCTAGGAAGAGTAAGCAACAACCATATATACTCGTGCGTGGCAATGCGAAGAACAGGCAGAAGAGCGCAATCGCTAAGCCAAGGGCACGACCCAGGCCGGCAGACAAGGAAGCCCTAAAGGCGGGAAACCCTGAACGGGCATGCTTGCGACACAATGTCTCCACAGGGAGTGCAGATGAAGCTGGTTGAAGGAATTTTTCTGCAACCCGAATAATCTCGAAACACAAGGTTGTAGGGTCGGGTGAGAGGCTGCTGCAGCAGCGAAGGAGGTTCACGTTGGTCCAAGCAAGAGACCCCAAGCCAACCGAAGGTCAAAGCCGAGGCTCCAAATGGAGCAAATCATCGAGCCGGTCGCAACAGTGGGAGTACGCGAAGCCTGAGTTGGTGCTTTGTGAGAGCTTGCGTCCCTGAACCCATGAAGCTCTGCGAGTCAACACAAGGAGAATCCCTAGACCCCAGTAAGGGCGAGTAAGCAGGCGAGTGGCAGGTCTCCACAGTGATGCTCATCTCAGCTCAACGGGCTCAATTCTAAGATTCCGCCTATCCTAGCAGATTTGCCTGTGCACGGCCTGACAGGCTGAGCCGGGCACCATGCAAGCAAGTTCCAGCTCATCAGCCGATGCCGTCGACAAGTTCATCGTGCTGAGCATATGCTCGAAGTCGTGCAGTGGTGGATTCTCAGCATTCATTTCAGTACAAACAAAGCCAGATTCGAAGCCCCAAGCCTAACGGCCTAACCGGCACAGACAACGAAAGATATCAACGTGCGGCCAACGCGCACACCGACTGCATCGGTCCTGCAAAGCAGGTTGTTTGAAACTGGGCAATGGGGGAACCGAAATGAGAAGTCAGCGTGCTCCTCGTGGTCGCCGTCGTGATGACCCTGTCAGGTTGAGATCTGGGGATGGGCCTTTTGGCAGGAAATGCCGGCAAGTTCGCAATGTCCACGCCGCACCAACCGACAATTCGCGCTGCTGTGGGCAGGTTGATTGCGAGGGGGCTACGCTCCACATGCATCGGTCGTTTGCAGAGTCCCTCAGCGGCCTGCCTGATCACAGACCGATGTGTAGTTCCGTCCCGCTGCATCGCAGATCTCGTGGGGGTGGAGCTCGAGGAGCTGCGCCTGAGATCCACACAGCAACAGCTGACACGTCACACAACAACAAATTGAAGACCAGTCACAGGAAGGAGAGTCTCCGCTTCGTGGCAACAGGTCTGGTTGAACAAGCCTGGGTGGCATGGGCTCGTCCATGGAATATCATGTCATGGCTTCCGCCGTGATTCATCTGTGCCAGACAAAAAACACATCTCCACATCCCAGGCAGCCTCAGTTCGTGGCACCAGATGCAACTCCACCCACGACCTTCCATCCTCGAGTCTCAGAACCGGACCATGCAAATCGACTCCATCTCACTGGCAGAGAGGTTCCACGACGAGATGTTCGCGTCGTTGGCCCGTGCATCGTCGGACCCAGACACATGCATTGACGGGAGGATGCTGACGAGATTGTCGATGGATGCGTTGCACTGCGACTGCATCGCTGTACGATTACATCTATGGTGCTCCTCGCCATGTTCGTCGTTCTCTTTCATGGGACCAGTCTGACCAGGGCTTGCAAGTCTGTGACACAACACATCACAACACCAACGTGATTTCCGGCCTTGCAGATCACCGGGCGCCTGAAACCCCTCAGACGTTCATGCTTGCAGCTGCATTCATGGGAGTGACAGGGGAAGTGAACCACCACGATCAACATGACGCACTGCACGCTTCTGCACCACGCACTAGGAGACTCGGAATCGTGTGAACTAAGCCGGGTTCGAATCAGCGCATCGATCAGCGAAGTCGATCCCGTATCCCAGGCCCTCAGCATGATCTAGGCCACCATGCAACAGTTTCGGACTCCACGCTAATAAGCCGTTGTAGGTGACAGCTCGCCGAGTCACGAGATCAGTCAGCTGCTCTATCTCCCCGCAGCACATGGTGCTGGCAAAGCCTCGGCCACCGTCTCACTCGGGAGCTGAGGGCTCATAAGGACAATGGGAGGTGCGACTGTCGGCCGGCTTGCCCTGCAGTGCCACGCGTGAAGCCTTCAGCCAACCTAACCAAGTGAAGAGAAGAGTTGAATACTCAAGGCTTCCCAACCATACCCGAACCTTGAAGCTTCATGTCCCCCGGCAGTTTGGACATTCCACGCAGAGCCCTAGACCCAAATCCTGCCTTGAAGCTTCCATCACAGAATTTCATCACGATTCACGGCCAAGTGGCATGCCTCTACGGCGATGCTCATCTGGGCAAGCAGAGTGCGGCACAGGAAAGCAGAATGGAACGAGATACACAATCACAAACAAAGTCCAGACCTGAAGACTTGGCTTCAGCTTCTGCAAGAAAACTCATATGCTATCCAAAAGGACTGTAAAACTGACATCCCTGCTGTTCTTTCCCCGCTAGTTTTGGTAGTTCTGCGTTTGTCATGATCATGGTCATCACCCTGATCATCATCACCACCACCATCTTCGTCGTCACCATCATCGCGATCGTAGTTCCGGTCGTGTTGTCACCTCCAGTGCTAATGTGCATGAACTTTTCAAATTGCATCGTTATCTTTACCAATTTATCGTTGCAGCTAACTGATGATATGATGCCGATGACCACTGTGGTGGTGAAGACGCTGATGACGATGATGAGGATGATGCTGATTGCCATGTTTTTTAGAATATTTCTGTTCTCGCAGCTATGAATACTGGTACTGGTCTAGCTTATCATTGAAATTTATGGTGCCGCATGTCGTTGTAGCTGTATCTGTCAAGTTACGATTAATCTCTTGCAGTAATTGTCAACCATATAATCGCTTGTACTGCTGATGCCGTCCCTGAGTATATCGATTTAGTAACGCTGCAGATAGTCTGCTGCCGTGTATGATACAGTAGCAAGTGTTGTTGAAATCTGCCTGGCTAGCGGCTAGCACAGGTACTGATTGCACCGATCAGATGGTATAAGTCGCACTTTTCCGGAGGATGATGCCTTCACGTTAGGTCTCGCATACATGAGCCTTGGGTCGCAAGTAAAACTCTTTTTGAAACCGTCTGTGCCGGTGCTACTGCTACAGCTAGTATCGCTAGTAGTGGCATTTTCTGCTGCTGCGGCTGCTTGCTGCTGCTGCTCCTGCTGCTCCTGCTGCCCATGCTACTACCACTGCTACTGACGCTGCCAGTACTCGTAGTAGTAGTAGTAGTAGTAGTAGTAGTAGTAGTAGTCGTAGTGGTAGTGGTAGCGGTAGCGGTAGCGGTAGCGGTAGCGGTAGCGGTAGCGGTAGCGGTAGCGGTAGCGGTAGCGGTAGCGG